ATTTTCCTTCCTCAAAAACCTATATTACCTTTTCAAAAGAAATTTCAAGTCTAGTACTGACATTTTGTCTTTCTAACTATCTGTTCATGCTAGACCGATTTTTTTTTCAAATGCTACAAATTAACATATTTGAGATGCAGGTGTGTTCTAGGTATCCATGTGTATACTGGTCATGATTTTAAGCTGGTGTTTCTTTAATACCACATAGTTTTCTATGAGCACTTCCACTATTGAAGTGGCATCTTTTATTCTTGCATACTAATAAAAAGTATGGTAGTTAGGAAGACTTAGGGCAGCACTTTAGTAAGTTTGGTAATTGGGAGAAGATTTCTTAGCAACAGAAAACCTATTTTAAAAGGATTTACCTGGTGATAAATGTTCCAAGCAAGAGAATTAATAGTTGATTTCTGAGCATGAATTGTCACACTGACCGCTTATGTCTTGGAATGTGGAGACCAGATTATGTTTATTTAAGCAAGGTTTAAAAAGTGTGTTGACTATATATTTACCATGACTGCAGAACAGTGTATGCAGAATAGTACCGGTATGCCCATATTTTCAGTAGTGCTTCTCAGATTTTTTAAAAACTAAACTTATTTCTTTTTTTGTGTTCAAGAGACGGCAGCTATGGCTTGCCATGGGCACTTTCCATAAAAAATATGATGTGAGGTAGCCATTGTAAATATTATAGGGGTCTGGCTTAAGAAATGAAATGTAGAGGACTTGTGTGCTCTTATGCCCATTCTTAATGTGGAACTTTAGGGATGTAAAATAGATATTTTTGTAATGTTAATAATGTAGGTCACACACATTAGCATGGGAAGTTATTCAGAATGAATATCTGTTGAAATGAAGGTGCATAATAAAAACTGTCAGGCATTCCAATCCATTAATAATTATGTCATTGATCCTAATATATTGTTAACGTTACCAGAATGTACTTCTGTATGCAAATAATGTGTATGTGTAGGGTTCGTTTGCTGCACCCTTATTAACGCAGTGCTTTCTCTGGGTAGCCCATTGGAGTGATCTTTTGGGGACTCAGAAAGGGCATTAGGAATTATATATGGATAGAAGTTGGAACATGCAATGTAATCTTGTCAATTGCCTTGGTGGTGCAGTGAGTTAAACCTTTGTGCCAGCATGACAGTTCAAATCCGGGGAGAGTGGGTGAGTTCCCTTTGTTAGCTCCAGCTCTCCATGCGGGGACATGAGAGAAGCCTCCCACAGGATGATAAAAACAGCAAACATCTGGGTGTTCACCCAAGCAACATCCTTGCAGATGGCCAATTCTCTCACATCATAAGCGACTTGCAGTTTCTGAAGTTGCTCCTGACATGGAAAAAAAATCTTGTCTATATATATATAAAATATGTAGAAGTTGTTTATTTTTTCTGTGTAATGAAAGCATTGTTAGCAGATCAAGATAAACCCTGATGTCTTGTAAATTTCTGTGAGCTTTTATTATATTAACTAAAAAATCCAGAAGTAGTGCTAATAAAATCTACCTCTATCGCTAATTGGAAAGAGCAAATCTGTTCAGGAAAACTGATACAAATAGACTTTGTATCATGTGCCACTGTTGCAATTTTCACTCTAGTAACCTGTGTTCTTCTGATTTTTCCCAAAGTACATTCTCAGTTTAAAATGTACTTTGCACTTTTGCAGGGGCCTGAAAATGAAAACAAATACCCAATTGGGTTTCACTCTTTCAAACAACAACAAAACTCTTACAGATCTCTGGATGAAAGTCACTGTGTCTTTAAATAGATGTCATATGTTGAGACTAATTTTATTTTAACCGATGGTTTTTTAAGCTGCTTTGGAGATCATGAATGCATTTAAATGGATACATTTTTGTGTTGTAGTGGCTCAATAACTAACTTTTCTTCATTGATTCTGTGTGACTGAAACTTAATTTAGAGCTAACTCAATTTCATTAACTATCTTGAGGCTCAAAGGAATACAGAATTTTATGCCAAAATGTTTTTACTACACCAGAGATGGAATTAGAAACTGAGACTATATTTGCAGACAAATATTAGCAGCAGTTCAGAAATATTATTAAAGGCTCAGATCTGTATTTTTTCTTTTAAAATATGTACATCAAAACTCCCAAAACAGCTTTGATAATATATGGGGTATGCCTCATTCTAGAGACATACTAGATAAAAGACCGCATAAAATGAAGTATTGACAGATCAGTATATATTTGTTGTTGTTAACTGCTATTAAGTCAGGTTCAGCTTTGTTGACCCTGTGATTGAGAGATCTCCAAATCATCCTGTGATCAACTGACCAATTCAGATTTTGCAGATTCAGAGATGTGGCTTCTTTGATTGGATCTTTCCACCTGAAATTCAGTCTTGCTCTTTCCCTTTTGTCTTCCGTCTTACAAAGCATGTTTTAGCTTTCCTGGATAATTCTGTCTGCACTCTCAGTTTCATCATCTTGACTTCTATTAATAGTTCAGTTTCGCTAGGACAGGTGTGGGATTATGCTGTTGTGGGCTGCATGCAGCCCCTGAAACCATGTTGTCTGACCAAATCTGATGCTTTTAACAAACCTCACAAAAAAAAAAAACAAATCTCAGGTGAAGATTAAGAAAATTACAGTACACAGAAAAGACCTCAGTCGATGATATGAACATTGGATATGTTCCAAATCCACTATGCAGGATTAGAACAGCAATCAAAGCAAAATAATTTGCACACCAAACTACTGTAGTTATGGGTGAGTGAGCACCTTTGATGGCCTCCCTGGGTAGAGACAAGGGTTCAAATGCCTGGAGTATGTACCTGCTTATACAGGTCACAGGAGGAGCGGGAGGTCAGCAGTTTTATAAACCTTGGCTGCCCCCTAGCCCGCTTTCTGCTCTTTCCAAGACTGGATCAGGGAGACCGCTGATCTGTGGCTATTATTTCCTTGGATCCATTTGGCTTGGTTTGTTGTGGTTGCAGGATTGGCACAGGGATGAAGGTGGACTGTTGAATTGGCAGTGCTGCAGGAGGTGGTAGGCAGGTTGCCATTTTTGAACTAGGCCTTTCTCTTCTTCCTCCCTCTCCTTCCCCATCCAGTGAATAATAGGGTTCCAATTCCTATGCTTTTACCTCTCAGGCATTTACTCTAAAATTTGGGCTGTTTCTGCCCATGGCAATTTTGACTTGAATTTCCCAGCAGGCCATAAGGTCTGTGTAATAATTTGGTAGGGCCTGAAGCTGGGAAGGATGCCTTACCCAGTCCACCCATTTAACCCGGCTCCTGTTACTTTTCCGAGCTGCCAAGGGTCTTCTTCTTCCTCTCTAGATTTTTCTGACTGAACTGAAGCCAATAAGCATGTCTGCTCACAGGCTGCTGTCCGTACCGCATGGACTTTGGAATTTTCATTTGATTTTTAATGTATAATTTTATAATTTATAATAATATATAATTTTATTAAATAGAGATAGGGAGGGAGGGAGGGACGGACAAATGTTACACATATCCAAATGATCCTTGGCAAAAAAAAAAGTTGTCCTGCCTCCACCCCCCACTCCCTACCCCTGCTCCATGACATAATTTTTAGTAGTTTCAGCAGTCAGTGTATCCATAGAACCCTTTCTCTATAGGCTTTCTTCACTGTCCAGCTATTGTAATCATACATAGAAATGAGAAATATGATAGCATTAACAATCCAAACTGTAGTATGTTATATTTTTATACTTTAGGATCTTGTCTAATTCCTTTATAGCTGTCCTTCCCAGTCCTGAATTAACAGATTTCATTGAAAATTCTAATGTCCGCCACTTTTTCAATTCTCAGCAGGCAAGAGAACTCAACTAAGTATGAACTGAAAATGTATGTCATGTAAAGCTGATGAGATAGTATTTTATGGTTTTGTTTAGCCAGAATAAATATTCTGTTAATTTTCTAATATTGGCCCTCTATTTTTTCAGCACTTATTCTGTGCTTAAGTTTTATTTTGGAGCAAAATTTAAAAATCCAGTTCAAGGTATACAAAAATGATACGTTCTTTAGTCAGAATGGATGTTCTAAAATGATGCTTTCTTTCCAACCACCGATCAGATGAAACAGTTCAGAGCTATTAAGTTAAATCCAGCATTAGTCCTACTAACTGTAGACAAATTAAAATGTTTGGCACTTGTTTGATCCGTTTATTTTAATGAATTTTCCATAAGATGCACTACTATTGTGTGTGCATATGTAAAGTACATGTAAACACACAATCCTCCAATAATTAATTATCAAACTTTGATTCAAGATGAACTCTAACTTAGACTGGCCCCCTCCCTCCTGACCTTTCAGAGAAGAGTAAAAACCTGGCTCTTTGAGCAAGCCTTTGGAAACACAGTGTAATTGGACAAACATAGTATGATGGAATAATGAACATGGAACGGCTTAGATGATGCAATTGGATAAGGAGTTGAACTGATAGATATTGATTATTATAGTTTTAAGTGGTTTTATATGGATTTTTATTATGTGATTTAACTGTTTTTAATTGATGTGCATGTATATATGCTGTGGCATTTAATTATTGCCAATCTGTATGCTGTCCTGAGTTGTCTTAAATAAATAATAAATAAATAACTATCACTAACACTGCCATCTTGTTAGTTTTACAGAGATTTATTGAAGGCTAGCAATGTCTTGCCCACAAAATTGATAATCTGAAAGACTGCAACCCAAATTACAGAAAAAAATATGTAACAATTATAGAAAAAACATGTAACAGTTGTCCTTGGGACTGTCTGCTCTATTTCAGCTCATGTATTTCTCTCTTCCATTTCCACCCATATGCTTATTTCGACTATGAATGTCCATTTACATGGCTACAGATTCCATTTCTTTAAAAGCAGACTTTTTCTCAGCATGAAATGTGCCTTCATTATGAAATTATATGAATTGACATAATTAGAGCACTTTAATCTTTGCAACTTTTAACATGCACTTAAAAGGGCCGTATGTGTTTTTTTTTTCTTTTTGGTTTGTCTGTTTAGAAAACCTTCTCATCCTCAGCTTGAAGCTTTTATCAACCATATGTCTAAAGGAGCAGAAGCACAAATGGATGGTACTCTGAGCATCATGCCTCGTTACCCCAGCCATTCACAGTGTGAAATGGGAGAACTTACGCAGACAGGTGTGTATACAGCTGTTCTATTTTCATCTTTAGCAAAATCAGTCTGCCAAGGGGATCTTTGGTTCTCTCTTAATTGGGCCTTCCTAAGTGATTGCTAAGTGTTTAGAAGTTATTTAGCTAGAGGGCATGCTGGTTCTTTCCTGGTTGTGATAGCAATTAGGGCTGAGCATGCAGTCTTTGCTTCAAAGCTGAATTCAGCAATTCAGAATTGAGCCAGATTTGGTTTGAATCAATCAGGATCTGATCCAGTCCAGGCCCCAGATCAGGACTGAGACTGAAGAATCTGGAACATCAATGTTTTCTCATGATTTGCATTGGGAAACAAAAAAATAGATGTAAATTTTAAAAAGCTCAGACATCCGCATCAAATTTGGAGACATGGTAGAAACTGAAGATGGGATTAAATTATTCAAAAAACCTAGGAGGTGGCTATAAGAAGTCTCAACCCCAATTACCAGCAAGGTGTAAACCAACTGCGTTGCCAAGTGTCTACTTCAAGGTCAAGAGTTGAATATAAGAGCGTCCAGGGATAAATCAGAATCCAACTGTCAAAGTCCAAAGGTAAGTACAGGGATCACAAATGCCAGATAGTAAGAGTCCAAGGTTGTAGCATCATGCATCAACATTGTAGTCAACAACAAGGTGCCACATTTGAGCTCCTTAAATCCTAAGTTCTCTGGTGTTATTGTTGCTGGCTCATTTCTCAGCTAATCTTGAGGACCTGTGCAGCAGAGACATCTCTCTTCACAGGTCCACAAAAGCTAGAACATTTAACTCTTCCTCAGTCTACACAGAGGAACTTGCTTACACTTGTTCTGCAAGCTGAGAAGTAGCAGCTAGCTACTTCCATGGATTCTACTTCAAAGCTTGGCTGATGGAGCTGCTGGACACTGCTGGGCTCCAGTTCTACCACAGGCCCTTCAACCAGCATTTCCTAATCCTCGCTTGCCGAGCTGTTAAGACAGTGGCAGAGAGAGCTACGGGGGTAGGTTGTACCCTTTCTCCCTGTAATAGGCAAGCTGTTGTCCCAACCTCTCCTACTAGTGATTTGTGTGTAGACTGGAAAGGGGGTGGGAAGACTGGGCTAACCATAGGTGGACAGGTCTCCTCCATTCACTCCTGACACTTTCCTTCTATCTAGCCATATGTGGTTCTGGACAAGTGGAGCTGAACAAGGATTCCCTGGTTAGCTAGAAATAGGCAAGTCACTTCACTTCCCTGCTCCCTACATGGTTTAGCACCAGTGGAGGCAAGGAAAGAGGTGAGGTGACAGGAAATCTTTCAGCCTCCTTGTGAGACATCTTCTAAAACTGCAGAGTTTTCAAAGACATTTGTGCAGGAGGGAGAGAATTGTTTAAATTACTTCTTCCCCTCTGTGGGAATGAATAAATGAGAGAAGTTTATCCCTAATTGGACCAGACTGCTGGCTCTGTAATGTCTTGGCAGTATATTCCTGCCTACAGGGTAGATAGATAATTATCCTGTGATCTGTTCTTCAGAGTGGTCCCAGACAACACTTTTTTTCTGTTTTCTCAGCCTTCCTTCCATCTGACACCAAACAAAGATAACTTGGGGCAAGTTGGGGAAGGGGGGCAGAAAAGAAATCCCACCACTTAAATACACACAGCCTCATTAACAGCTAAATTAACCATAGCAACAAAGGCAAACAGAAGATTAAATTATGTTAGTTTCAGCAACACATAAGGAAATTGAAAAGGAAGGCCAACTCTAATAAGAGTTAAAAACTACCCACACTTTACTATTATTCTTTCTCAGTCTGGCACTAAAGGAGTAACAAAACAATCAAAGGAATGCCAAAAGAAATAACTAAAGATATAATTTAAGAGATCTCATGCAATCCCTTCTCAAAGTATTATGACTGCTGAGGAGACTCTTGCCCCCCTAGACTGATGAAATGGATGTCCTCCATTGATGGTTCAAGCTATCCATGAACTTGGTTACCATCATCTACCATTAAGCACTTATATGGCATTTTTCTTATATGATGATAGAAATGTAAATGCACATCTACTCTGATACAGAGCTGGTCCAAATCAACTTGTTTGTTATTTAGAATTAGGTTACATTGGTTGCAAAAGTAATAACCATGTCCCAAATTTAGAGGAAATATCTAGAGCATGAAACTCCATAATGTTTCATGTGGTACCATTAATTTCCTAATTTTCTCCAGAATGAACAACAGAAACTGTCAGTTCTAGCCTAACTGTGTTCAAAGGGTTTTTTTTTAAGATAGAGATAAAGAAAAGAGCCAGTATGGTTCTCTTGTGTTATCTACAGTTTAGGCCCTTTAAAAAACAAACAGTTGGTATTGAAAGTATGTAGTCTTCAGTAAGAATGTTGTTCCTATGGTATTGTCTATTTCCCTGGGCCACACAGTATCAACAGAGTTGCTTCTTAGAAACTAAATTGAGCTGTCATATCTGAGAGCTGATCAACTCTGATGGATAGAGCTCATTGTATGTTTCCTGGCTTGTCAAACTGACTTCCTTGTTTAATACCTCTTAAGATAGTATTCATGCCTAAGCTGTTTATCATAAAGTTACAGAAGCAGCTGTTCCGTTTCCCTTCTCCATTGAGCAGTACAGAATACTGTCATCTTCGTTAATAGATATTTGGCAGTGGATCCTTCTGTGCCATCCTAAATAAGGTCAGAACTTAGCCAGAAACAAAAATAATGTTTTTTGATATCTTGAAATTGAAATTAATAAGTCCTAATTATCTGCAGTGCTTGTGGGAGCATGTACTTTTAAGATGCTATTATGAGAGAATGATTATCTTTTTCTCTTTTTAAGGAATTGTACAACACTTGCAAAATGGACAACTGCTACGAAATATTTATTTAAAGAAGCATAACCTGATACCAAGTGACTGGACAGCTAAACATTTGTATTTGGAGACTACTGGAAAGAGTCGAACACTACAGAGTGGACTGGCATTACTCTATTCTTTCCTGCCAGAGTTTGACTGGAAAAAAATTAACTTCAGGAACCAATGGAGCACCATTTTTTGTTCTGGAAATTGTGATTGCCCAATAAGAAACCATTACTTAGAGGAGGAACAGCGTCGGCAGTATAGCCTCCGGGTGAAAAACATCCATTTGGAGAAAACATACACAGATATGGCAAGAATAGTTGGCATACCTACAAGGCAGTTGAGAGCTTCTAATCCTATAGATTCTATGCTGTGCCATTTTTGTCATAATGTCAGTTTTCCATGTACTAAGAACGGTTGCATTGACATTGAGCACTTTAAAGTGATCAAGACACATCAGCTTGAAGATGAAAAAGAGAGGCAGTTGAAGAAATATTATTACTTTTATGCGCTGCTGGCAACTCATCCTATCCTTAACCAGACTGTCAGTCGAATGCAACGCATTGCAGATGGCAAAAAAGAAGAATTATTTGCCCTTTATTCTGCTCATGATGTCACCTTGTCACCTGTTCTTAGCGCCTTGGGTATTACTGAGGCCAGGTTTCCAAGATTTGCAGCTAGACTACTCTTTGAATTATGGACAGATGGAAAGAAATCTAAAGAACACTATATTCGTATCCTTTATAATGGCATTGATGTCACATTCCAGACTTCTTTCTGCCGGGACTATAACAAACATTATGGGAAGCTCATGTGCCCTTTAGAGAAGTTTGTCCACTTTGTTAAGAAAGACATGTTTTCTCCCTTTAACAGCACCAACTATTATGATGCATGTCGCAGAAGACCATATTAAAGGAGAAGTTAAACATTGCATTTATTTTGTCAAAAGATCTGTCTTTTGAAGAAGGTTGATACTGTAAATCCTTGTGTGCCTAAGTGCAAATGAATACAGCTTGAAATGGTTTTATTTTTACCAAAATTAGTTCTTGATTGATTTAAGAAGTCGTAAATGTACAATGTCTGTTAGCAATCTATGTCACACACTATTTCTTTGTGCTAAACTTGATTTGTCTGTTAGCTGCTGTAAAATGGATATTGCTTGAAGAACTGAATGAATACATTTTGGTTCCTTGTTGTTCCACTGCAGAGATTGCCACGCTAAAGTAAAGACAAACATTTTTACCAAAAGCATTTATTCGCTCAACTCATCATGGTTTTTCCTGCAGTGTCCTCTGGACAAACCGTATGCAGAAAAGTGTTATATATATTCAAATGCTTTTTGCTTTTTGTTCACAAAGCTTGAGAACATTTGACCTTTACACAGGAGCTGCTTTATGCACAATTTAGACCCTGTGAAGACTGCTCCTACAATAATGTCACATGGCATTTTATGTTTGGTTTGAACAAGTGAAAAATCTGTATACAAACATGTAATGACTTTTTTAAAGTCACTGGTATTGTCAGAAACAAGCCAGATGTTTTGCCCTGCATTTCCAATCAGCCATGGGCCATTTTATTTGCCATTATCAATAATGTAAGGGTCCAAAAGGTTGGTTTGAAATTACCATTACATGTTAGTCCATGCAGAAAGCGTGGACTAAACTAAAGGCTCTTTGTGTCAAGCCTAGAATCTAGAAGCATTTTTTTTTGAAAAATCAGACTAACATATCATATACAAAAACCACAAGAATATATGGAAAGGAAAGTTCTGTTCTTTGCACTTTTAGCACTTTATGTGTACTATGGACACACATTTTATGTGTAGTGGAATTACATAAGAAGTAGAAAACTTCAGATCTGAATTTTAATACATTTCCTTATCTTTCTGTTTTGTGTTCAAATCATTTGTGCTGTGATTTAAAAAATCAGTGAATTGAGCGGTTTGTTGTATTGGCTGCATGTGGCCAAAGGAACTTGACAATGCTTCATTTTTGTAGCCAATTTAGTACTTTTATAGACTAGGTTTTATAAGCTGAGTCTTGTTTTTTTATAGTATAGTGATTGTACTATAGTGTACTAAATGGTTTTTAACTTCTTTATAAAGGGATGCCAAAAGCTGTTTTCAAACCCTTCTCCTGTAACCATGGGAAATAGATTTATGAGAGAAAGATCTTCTGAACAATTTTACTTAAAAAGCTAATAATGAGAAACTGCATTTTAAAACATTTTATTCATATGGTATTTTTAAACTGCTTGGAAAAGCTTTTTGTTACTATTGGAATGCTATGTTTTATAATGTTGTCGTTTTTACACACCCAAAAACCATAGTGTCGGATATGACTTCAGCAGAAATGGTGCTACCAGTTCAAAGGAGCTGTGACGTGTTCTGACTTTGCTGGCATTTAACTCTCATTTTGACATTGATACATTTAAATGTTTCAATAAATAAAGTTTTGAAGAATTCTTAGTGGTGATTCATCAGTGACGGTACATCAGTGCTAATTTTTCTATATAGTGTATACATGATGTTGAAAATATAAACTGATTTTAATATTTGAGTGATTGTGCAACATTTAAAGTATACTATGTTAAAGAACTCTTTAATATATTGTTCTGTTTCTATAAAATATTTTGTGTTGTTTCCCTAAGTATACATACAGCCAAACACACTGTTAAGCTGTGTTTCCCCACCCCCAGTAAGCTGCACAACTCATTGAATTTATTTATTTATTATTTATTTACTCCATTTGTATACCGCATTTATCAGCCTAGGACGGCGACTCAATGCGGTTTACAGTAAAATGTGCAACACTGACAATATATAAAACAGACATACACAGACAACACACATATAGTCATCAACGCCTCAAACAGAATCAGATCCAGTTCTCACAGTCGTTTTACCGTTCCTTGTTCAGTATGCCGTCTTCCTGAGTTAGTTGTAATTGCATAATTATCTGAATGCCTGTTCATAGAGCCACGTCTTAACCCTCCTCCGAAACGCCAGTAACGAAGGGGCCTGCCTGATGTCCGCTGGTAGGGCATTCCATAGCCGAGGGGCCACCACCGAGAAGGCCCTGTCTCTCGTCCCCGCCAACCGCACTTGTGATGCTGGCGGGACCGAGAGCAGGGCCTCCCCGGACGATCTTAACGTCCTCGCCGGTTCATAGGTGGAGATGCGTTCGGAGAGGTAAGTGGGGCCGGAACCGTGTAGGGCTTTATAGGCTAAAGCCAGCACCTTGAATTGTGCCCGGTAGCAAATTGGCAGCCAGTGGAGCTGGCTCAACAGAGGAGTGGTGTGCTCCCTGAGTGCCGCTCCCGTTAGCAACCTGGCTGCCGAGCGCTGGACCATCTGAAGCTTCCGGGCAGTCTTCAAGGGCAACCCCACGTAGAGCGCGTTGCAGTAATCTATGCGGGATGTGACGAGAGCGTGGACTACCGTGGCCAAGTCCGACTTCCCAAGATACGGGCGCAGCTGGCGCACGAGCCGAAGCTGTGCAAATGCTCCTCTGGAAACCGCTGAAACTTGGGGTTCCAAGCTTAGCGAAGAATCCAGAGTCACACCCAAGCTGCGAACCTGCGTCTTCAGGGGGAGTGCGACCCCGTCCAACACAGGCTGTAACCCTATACCCTGTTTGGCCTTCCGACTGACCAGGAGTACCTCTGTCTTGTCTGGATTGAGTTTCAATTTGTTCACCCTCATCCAGTCCGACACAGCGGCCAAGCACCGATTCAGGACCTGGACAGCCTCCTTAGTAGTAGGTGGAAAGGAGTGACAGAGTTGGACGTCATCTGCGTACAGATAACACCGCACCCCGAAACTCCGGATGATCTCTCCCAACGGCTTCATGTAGATGTTAAACAACATGGGGGACAATATTGAACCCTGCGGGACCCCACAAGTCAATGGTTGTGAGGACGAGCAGTTGTCCCCCAGCAACACCTTCTGGGTACGATCCTCTAGGAAGGACCTGAGCCACTGTAAGACAGTGCCCCCCAGGCCCATTCCCACGAGGCGCCCCAGAAGGATACCGTGGTCGACGGTATCGAAGGCCGCTGAGAGGTCCAGCAGAACCAACAGAGACACACTCCCCCGTCTAGCTCCCGGCGTAGATCATCCACTAAGGCGAACAAGGCTGTCTCAGTTCCATGTCCCGGCCTAAAGCCAGACTGTGCCGGATCCAGATAATCAGTGGCTACCAGAAACCTGGAGTTGTGAGGCCACCACACGTTCCAGGACTTTGCCCAAAAAGGGAGATTGGAAAACAGGCCGATAGTTGACGAATTGAGTGGGGTCCAGTGATGGTTTTTTCAACAGCGGTTTTATTACAGCTTGTTTTAAGCTGGCTGGAATTATGCCTTCCCGAAGGGAGGCATTGACCACCACCTTTACCCACTCGGCCAATCCCCCTCAATCAAAACATGAAGTGCATGTTTTGATGAGCCAAAGACAACAACAATAGGCTTCCACATGGTTTGTAGAGCAGCAGAGATCAAATGAAAATCTCAATAGGACCATTTTACTACAAAGCAGCTTGGTAGGCACAGGAAGGCAGCCCTGTTTCACATAGACAGAAAAGCAGATTAAGAAGTAGAACACAGCAGCAGTCAAATAAACCCTAACCCTTTTATGCTGCCAGTTCCCCTAGTTTTAAAGACACAATTCCAAATCCCCAAGAGCATTCATAAGTTACAAAAGAGCAAGGCTAAGGTCAATCAAGTCATTTGATGCCTTATCAGGGCATTTTGGGATTTCAGTTGTACAGGAGATATCAATCTCACTCCATCTCATATGGTGTCCTGCCTTAGGGCCCTGCCACACAGCCATATAATCCAGAATATCAAGTCAATAATACACAATAGCTGCTTTGAACTGGGTTATCTGAGTCCGCACGGCCATATAACCTAGTTGAAACTTGATGGGATTTTATACAGCTGTGTGGAAGAGGCCTTAGTCTTTTGTGAGTCAGTAGAAGGCGTAAGAGCTGCTGACAGACTTGAACACTTTCTGTTCCCGCCCTAATCAGTTTTGTCCCTGATGCCTGGGTGTTTTGGCTGTTCTGCCTCTGTTTTGAGAATGAGCACTTTGTGCAATCTCTCAAGGTAACAATGGTGGTGGCAAATTATCTCAAGTAGTTTGCTGCCTAGGGGCCCCCTGGTGGTGCAATGAGTTAAACCGCTGAGCTGTTGAACTTGCTGACCAAAAGATTGGTGATTTGAATCCAGGGAGTGGGGTGATCTCCCACTGTTAGCCCCAGCATCTGTCAAACTAGCAGTTTGAAAACATGCAAATGTGAGTAGATCCATAGGTACTGCTTTGGTGGAAAGATAACGGTGCTCCATTCAGTCATGCTGGCCACATGACCTTGGAGGTCTATGGACAACGCTGGCTCTTTGGCTTAAAAATGGAGATGAGAACCACCCCTCAGAGTTGGACACGACTAGACTTAATGTCAGGGGAAACCTTTACCTTTAGGTTGCTGCCTACAATGAAGACAAGTTGCAGTCCTAGAATTTGGTTTTTCTTAATACTATACCTTTTTTGTGACTCAGATTGCACACCTTTCTGAGTTGCTTCCTGTTATAATACTTCTATTATTTCTATTTTCAAATATTCTGTGATATTCAGGTTCAGATAGGAGTCTCCTCACAGTGGAAAACAGCTTGAGTCAACTACCAACATCCGGATCCCCCTACAGATCTTACTGCAAGTGAGGCAGTTTGACATCTTGCCCATAAAAACTTACAGGTTTCAGTGCAAGCAAATCAGCTTGCTTACTTTTGGCCCTATGGACAACTTTCATTATCTGTATAATAGAAATGGAGATGCTCCACAATTGGATTAAGATACACAAATGGTCAAGTGTGATAAGGGATGTTAAAATTGTGAGTTTAACTAATGGGTTGAACTAATGAGCACTACATTTAGTGATTCGCTTTCTCAACTAATATGAATGAAATGGGTAATAAAGTAATTTTAAATGTGTAATATATGTGTATTTTATGAATAAAATATTTTGCTGGCAGACCAAATACATGCAAAATTGTATATGGACAAAAGAAAATGAGATTTTGAATCAAATTGGGAAAGCGAATCAAATGCCTAACAATATTAATGTAAATTGGGGTAGCAGAGTCAGCTGGGAAACATAAGTATTGCTACCTAGAAAAACTAGGGCACCTATTAAACAGATTACTATGAAAATGAACAAGAAATGCAAACAGGATTAAGCTATGATGAAACAGAAGACAAAAACTTACAAAAACACTTGGGATCCCAAGAACCAAAGAGAAAGAACTCACCAAATAATTTCATCCCTATAAGGAGAAACAGGAAGACGATTATATAAAACAATGGATGGGATGTCTACTTTGATAAACCATGGAGGCTAAAGAAAATGAAAATGTGATTCCAAACCCCAGTTTTTTGTGGTTATCTGTCATTATCTGGAGAAGAGGTATGCAGAGTGATCTTTCAGCACCTTTGAGATTCAAAGATAGAAATTGGTAGCATGGGCTGTTGGTAGCACAAGCTTTTGTAGCATTAAGTCTATTTCCTCAGGTGCATAGATGTTCTTTCACAATCTATGTTGTGTGCCCTCCTGCAGCTAAATGTTTGTGGCTGGTAGCCTGTCTAGTCAAATAAAAGACCTGCCATCAAGAGACTTCGAGAAGGCAGCATCATTGTCCCTCATAGGTTGCAGTTAATTGATGATGGTTCATTGACAGGGAGCAGGTGTTAGCTTTGTGCAGGATTAATTGATCTGTCAGTCTTGCAATATTACTATTTGCTATTATAAAACAGAATGTGAGTATGCAAAAGGACTTTAGATATTGAGTAGTTTTTCTCTCTATCACATGTGTTGTGTAACTATCTCTGCTTAATGGAGATCACAGATATGCTAACCACATATCTGTACAAAAACATGGACGCAGAAGGGGTAGGTGAAAATAACTGATGGCTACAAAAATGATCCAGTAATTTATATGGCTCACCAACCACATGTCTCTATTTCTGACCAATGAATTGCATACACAGAGATGAAATGAAAAAAAAAACTTTACCTGCAGTGGGAGTCCATTGGAATTGTATCACAGATGACCAGTAGTTCCTATCATAACTTTGACATGAGAATCAGGGGAATCATAGAATATCCTTCCTTTTGGTTGAACTACAAATCCCAAGAGTGTGGCCAGGATAGTCCATGGTGACTACATGGCTACAGGCCTACAACATTTAAAAACTTCCAGATTCCCATTCTTGTCACACACAAAATCAGATATGATTTCTCCATTCTGTGAAACTACAGATAGAAAGACATGTGTTTTCTTTTTAAACAGCTTATTTCCAACAGTCTCTCACTCCACCCACAAGTTATGTTTATTATTTTTCTATTCTTTGTAGACTTGTCTTTTCCAAGACTGTAAAGGAACTGCAAAGTTAGTCTTAGTCTTCCCTCT